TACGCGGAGCAATCTGTAGAGCTGGAAGCTGAGAACTGGCGACTTTCAAGTACAACTTTACGCGGAGCATCTGGGGAGCTGGAAGATGAGAACTGACTGGCGACTTTCTAGTACAACTTTAGCACGCGGAACAACCTGTGGAGCTGGAAGCTGAGAACTGGCCACTTTGTAGTACAAGTGTAGTACGCGGAGGAGTCATCTCTCGCTGCTGAGTCAGCTCTCGCTGCTGTGAGTCATCTCTCGCGACTGAGTCATCTCTCGCTGCTCAATTATCTCTCGCTGCTGAGTCAGCTCTCGCTGTAGCCATCTCTCGCTGCTGAGTCATCTCTCGCGGCGTGCAGGTTTGGCACAGTTCATACTGATAGTATTTGGTTGCATTTATGCAGGACAGGACTTTCAACTGCTGGTCAATACACCACTCATCATACACCACTCAGCATACACCACTCATCATACACCACTCGTCATACACCACTCATCATACACCACTCGTCATACACCCCTCTTGTCGTGGCAAAGATACAACCCAGTACGCTGTTGTGAGCTGCTGATCCTGCAGGGGGCACACACCTTACACACGTGGAATCCCGTGGGTCAAAAGTCCGGAGCGCGTGCGTTTGACTGGAGGACGCGCATGTTGGAGAGAACGTGGACACTCCTATAGGTCAATTTGTTCTTATAGGAAACTTCCGCCGCCGGCTTGCCCGGGAACTACTTGTAACGTATTTTTTACTTCAGTAAGTGCTATAACTAAAGTTATAACTATGATAACTTGGGGGGCTGCATGGTGTACCAGGTGTGATCCAGCCCGTCAGGCTCTGGGAGCTACTGCGCCTCCACTGCTTCCTCTGCTGCTTTTCAAGTCGCAGAAGATCTTCCATAACTTGGCCGAACATACGGATCGCTAATGTCATCACCGTCCCAGTGCTTTAGGAATTTGATCACCTTGCGAACTGTGTCCTCCGAAATATATTCGAAGGTGTGTTCTTGTTGTGGCGGATATACGTTCTTTAGAACTTTGAGGCGGCGATTGTGCAACACATTCGGCCATTCCATTCAACAACGGTCAGCCTGAGAAACTCCGCCCGTGCCAAAATTTCCTTGGAGATCAGCTTTTTCTCTAGGCTCTCTAGAGGCTCGAGTGGAAGTGCGACCTGCATTGTCGAAGTGTGACCTGGATGGCCTGCTGCATCTGGATCTTCTTCATCTTGATCAGGCGGATCCTCATACTCATCTGGAATCAGTCCTCCATCATAGCCCTTGCGAGCTCGTTTATGTGGTTGGCCTGCTAAATAATGGCAATGGCCTGCAACCGGCTGAGGTCAACCCTGTCCTTGACAATATGGAGGGTAGCCTTGGTGTGCACGAGCGGTCGTCCGCGTGTTGCCTGCGGCATTTGCCTCGACAGACCTTCCTGTCTTGGAGCTCTTGTCCGCCACCTCAACAGAAGGCCATGGGAAAAATCCGGGCACCGCTGGTGCGTATGTCGAAATAGAAAGAGCAGTTTCTATGAATGTGCATGAATTTGTAAAAAACTGCCTATCATGCACATCCCTTTGTATATTGATTTGTAGAACTGCCTGTTCTGAACCCTGAAACGTGACCCTCATTTTTGGACTCCATCATCTACATCGTCCAAGCACTTCAAGAGTCACACCTCGTGCCGCGACTGCCCATGGTGGTTGGCCTGCGCGCTCGAGACGAATGTCGACATGTCGCGGGTTCCCGGACATGGATGGAGAGTACCCGGCCAGTTGAACGAAATAATATCACAAAATGCACCCTGCTATCTAAAAAACAATGGCCCAGTGACAAAATCCAGAATCAGCCACTGCCACAGCCCAGGACGCGAATGGATGCGAATGGCACATACTGCGATGACACACACATGATGATTCAGGTGTCCTTTCGAGTTGTGTTGCAGAATGTCCCCACCAAATGACGATGCTGTCCCCACCTGGAGCAGCATCTGTGCAGAGTGGCACTCAGGCTTGATGTGTATCGCTCACGAGGTTCCGTGGCTGAACTGTGGCCTTTGATGATCCTTAATTCGACCAGGTCGACCTTCGACTGCTTGGTCGTTTAAATGTTGGATCAACAATTTCAATACCTTGCGCAAGGCACGAATAGAGCCACCAGGTTGAACATACACACCACGGGACTGCAAAACAAACGTCTACATTGAGGAATCAAAACAGCCCGATGTAGAATGCCAATCCCAAGTCATTTCTGGTTTTCTTTCGGTTTTCGAGTTGCGGGTTGAGTAGTCAAGCGCACCGCCTAGTCGTGCATGGCCCAGCAAAAGAAATGAGCAGAACACCACCAGCAACATGTGAGCGCTCACGTGTTGCTCAGGCGCCGGAGCCTGGAGTTGTCCATTGATTCAGTGGCGGAATCCTCGCTGTCGATCATCCTCAGTTGACGAGATCTCAGAGATCTCTGGAACAAAAAGCCTATAATAAGATCTTAAAAATTCCTTAAAGGTTAACATATACCAGGACCATCCTGTCTGGGTGCCCTGCCTGGACTACCCTACACTATACTTATTAATCTCCAGACAGGACACCCATTGGATGGTTCAGGTAGGTGAATCAAACTTTCAACCTGGATTTATCGGGCAAAAGCAAACCCTGACTTCACGGTAAACCCTGACTCACGCTCGTAAAACCCCTTGGTGTAGGTTTCGTCTTTTCCATCTAATGATTCCCCAAGCTGGGCCGATCTGCTCCACCGATCTGGGCCGATCTACTTCACTCCGTTGCGGCCGTTGCGTCAGATCGAGTGACGTCCGATTCTGACTTCGACATGAGACCCTAGTAGCCATGGCCTCCAACCTAAGAACGGCTTCCAACCTAAGAGCGATGGTCCCGCTGTTTTCCCGGTGGAACCTGTGTATATACATATTCCGATTCCAGTTGGCATCGGCTTTTGTGCAAAAGTAAGATACAATACCTGGATCTTCCAACTACTATATGCAGAATATGCCTTCTCATGCACGAAACCGGCAGAAGTTTGGCAGAAATTCGTTGGAAGACCCGAGTATTGAATGGTTCCCCTTCAAACCCAAATCTGTTCGTTCTTCATGGACATGATTCTCTCTATTTGGGGGACCAAACCACCGAAATGTGCTCCTTCCTCCACCAAAGCCTCGGAATCCGGGTGCCCGACGTCGAAACAGTCTCACGCATGGGGTCGTCCTCGCCTGAGTGACAAAAGCGCACGGAGCTGGCCGAAGCGGGCCCAAGTGGGGCCCGGTTCAAATGGTTGAGAGGGCTTGAACTTGTTGAGAGGCCTCTGGCCTTAGATCTCTCCCTCAGAATCCGAAGCACCAACTAGTTGGTTTAAGGGACATGTTCAAAGGACCCGAGCTACCTGGGGATGCCTTTCTAGGATAGTCTATAACTAGGGTTCTTCAAGCTCTGCTGGCAATGGAATGGTTGGGGTCTGGACCCTGAAGATGGAGGTCAAGTGCGTTCACTGCGGTTGTTCTTTGGTCGGATTCAGGTGCCCCAATTCTCTCATGGGCCCCTGTCTTGGGGATTTGCCCGGGGAAATGCATCTTTTGCCACTGGCGGTGCAGCAACGCGTATGGTATACCACCGGATTCGGGAATCGAACATATAGGGCATTCCCTTCAAAGACTCGCCAGAAACAGTGAGGATGCTTCCCCAAACTATCCATGTGTATGGCCAAATATATATATATATATTTATTTTACCCACGGAGTCATTTCGGGTGTTGCAGTAGGCCACATGTATTCCAGTCTGAGTTCAGATTGGACGTTCACTTCGTTGGACTTTCACTTAAGAAGGGGAGCGCCTGGCAGATTCACCACCTACTGTACTATTCCCACTGTACTGCACGGTTCATCACTTCTCAGACACCGGAAGTGGAGAACTTTTGGAACGATTCTTGAGACATCTTGAGACGGATACCGTATCCTTCGATGGACCTGGCGAATACAAACAGAGACGTAGAGGTCACGAACTGAAGAACCTATGGCTCAAAAGAAGGCATGCAAAGAAGATTCATCGGTGAAGCCTTCGCGGGGCAAACAAATGCTGATGTTCCATCCCCAGATGTACTTTGCTCCATGAACATACGGTAGCTCTCATATCAGGTCTATTTGTCAGGGGAAGGACACATGGAAAAGGAACAAATCATTAGAGAAAACTCTTCCGAAAAGCCCAGTTCCGTGGTCCATGCTCGATGACCTTAATTCGATAACTCTCAAACATGGAAGTGGCAATCAAGTGCCACATTCTCCCATCGAAAGATTGATACCACGACCTCGAATTGGAGTCTCTGTTGGTGACCATTTACAGGCCTATATGTTCCTGACCGAAAAACAAATATAGTAATCTCTTCAGATATCTCAAGATATCTCCGACTGAAGGTACTACTGATTCTGTACAATCTGGTACATCGATTTTACGACCTCTATCCCAGTGGATCCAGTTAACACCCATGGCTCGTAACTGGTGGTTCCACAGACTTAAAACTACAAACCAAACGGTACGGGCCCCTGGTTCCGTAAGAAGTGCTTTGCCTAAGATTGGGAGTTTCGAAGTGGTTTGGTCCTCGTTTGTGGCGCCTCTACACCCCTGGATCCGTAATAAGGGATCCTCTTTGTGTGGCACCTTGTACCGACCCGACCACGGCGACCCGCCTGGACGTCGTCCACGGCCTCCTCGGGTTGCTGAACCGCCCGGGTCGTCCGTTGCTGAACCCAAAAGTGGGTTCTATAGATGTTTTTCCGTTCTGTTGTGAAACAAAGGTTTCTATAGTTCTGTCTTTTTTTTGTGTTCTTTTTTGTTGCGTGTTCTAGGTATTTGAAGACCTATATGATTGAAAACTTTACATTATAGAAACCCTGCACCTAAGAACTGAGAAAAAGTAATCAAACAAGCAGGAATAGGTCACATCCTCTGTATCAGTATTCCTTTGTCTCACATGTTTTGACACACAGCCATGTTAGTGAAAGGTGGTGTGTCATTCTTCTCATCCCCAACAGCAAGATACAAACACTGGTAGGTGACCATGTTTAACAAGCCTCTAATGAATCCAATTTGCCGCTTAAATTGACCTGGCCAGTTTTGATATCTGTAACACCATCGTGTCCTTCTTGGGAGCACAAAGAGAAACCACCAACTAGGGTACTCCAACAAGCATCTTCGGAGGTCTTCTCTGCGGGTCATCGCGGTGTTTTTTGTCTGAGAGTGGGGTCATCGTCGGCGTGTTCGTCGCGCTGATTTCCATGCATGTGTAGCTAAGCTGCTTAGCACCACTTAATGAGCAAAAAATACGTTTGAACTGTGTGCAAACGGGGTATGCCCTAGCTGCATGGCCATTTCACAGCTAACAAGTGACAAATCCATTCTTTTCCAGGAAGCTGCATGAGCTTTGGATGTCGACACATGCAGGCCAAGGTGTTTACCGGCCAGCAAGACGTCGCGACATGGGTCTCCAGGAACTGAGCTGGCTCGGCAAAACGGGAGATCGATGAAACGAGTTCATCCTGTTGAAGCAACAGTGGATGATGCTGATGATGTTTCTTTCAGCAACTTCCCCAAAGAAATGTTCAGGTACAGCAGGTATTGGATACAGTCAAAATAATCTGATGACTCAAGGCAGCCATAAGAACTCAAATTTCATGTCATGGCCAGTGTGCCTGACCAGCACAGTGAGCCAGGCAACATAGGATGTCGAAAGTGTTGAGAGCCAAAAACTGAAATCGCATTGAAGGACGCTGCGCAACACACTCATGAAGCTCAGTCCAATCGTTCGGCGAGAGAAAAGATCCGTTGCCAGCAACATGCCTGCTTCAAGCAGAAGGCTGTAGCCGTTCCGGATGAGGCTTTCTTGAAAGTTGGCCTCTGCCAAGCCCATAAAATGCAATTCATTCTGTGCCAAAAAAGTGTTGCTTCGCAAACACAGCAGCAAACTCACGAAGATTGCCGGAGCCATCACTTCGCAAACTTCTAACATGACGATGGTTGAGAGAGAGCTAGAGACTTCCTCTGAAGCTGGGACTGAACATCAGAGCCCAAAAACGTTTTTGCAAAGCTTCTAAAGTAGAGGAATCAACCCATTGAAAGGTTCTATGTTTCTAGAGCAAAAAATGACACCCGGATTCATGAAAGCTTGCCAAAGCTAAGCGCGAGCTTCGTTGAGCAAATGGATCTCTTGCGCTGGCCATCTGGCATCCCGAAACTCTTGTAGCGTGATTTGTTGACAGTTCCCATGAATCTCTGCCAGCCTCTTTCGCAGGGCCCGCAAATTATGGAACAAGCCATGTACGCCACGCACTAATTGCCGCCAGGATCGAAGATGAGCCAGTCTCAGTGCGCTCTCCTGGCAGGTCAACGTGAAACGTATACGGGAACAAATACAAACATTCTTGGCACACAATCTGACATATTCTGAAACAAAAGAAAAGAGAAGCATCGGGCCCGAAACATTCCTGGCACAAAATGTAAAACAAAATACACTTGTATCCAAAGGACTTGAAGCGAATGTTCGAACAGAATTTCCTGCATGTCGGGAATTGTACTGCAGTGTATCTATCTCATTTATGGAAAAGGCCCTCACCATCTGCTCTTGCGAACAGAATGATGGATCTAAGTGGAATGCCAGCGCAGGTCTGATGCACAAATCCTACAGTCTTCCAGGCTGCTTGTTATACACAATAATTGCATCGTATATATCTGTGATTCGTTTATCAGGGAAGTGGAAAAGGGTCCCGAAAGACGATTTTCCCGTACAAACAGATTGATTTCTAATTCCATGCGTTCGTGAGTCCAAGTGTAAGTACACATATTCCACGCGTTTCGATGTCTGGAAGGTACTCACCCCTAGGGATCCAAGTACTTTCTCAGAAGGTGATTGGAGACACTGTTCTGGTCCAAGTCCAAGTAACTTCTGAGACTGGATCCTTATAGGGCACAAGTAGTTTGGAACTCTGCTTCCGTCTACGATCGATTCTAGTCGTCATCGAACATGTTGGTATCCCAATCTAGATCTCAACCCAACCATCTTTAGTCGTCATCACTTGTTCACCCCCACGATTCGGAATGCCAATTTGGCTCATCAACAAAGGCCTTTTTAGCAGCTCAAACACCAGTCGAGGACTAGGCGCAAGTTTGTACCTAGCAACACTGGACTGGCAAGACTTGTGAACCCCCAAACATATTTTGGCCTCATCTCTCTTACAAGCTAGAACATATGAAGAGCCAGCCATTGCCATTCGGTCTCCTGGAAAGCACAACCATCCATCCGGAATGAGGTCTCGCGTTTTTCGGAACTTAAATACTCTGCAGCTAGTGACGGGTTGGTTTCAAATGCTGGACAGTGTGGATTTATAGCCCACATTAGAAAATGACTTTTTGATGGATGGAATGCCCAAACAATGGCAAACAGAAATAAGCAAATACCATAGGCCGTTTCTGCATTCCTGCCGATTTCCACACCGTGGGGAACACTGCAAGGATTCCACGCGACCAAGAACACGTCACGCCGTCAAAAACCAAGGTTCGGATGTCAAATCGATGACCACCATCACGAACGAGCTAAATACGGCAATGACTTCAGGCAGAATCATGCTGGCAATGACCAGGAGACCCTTCGCTTCCTGAGCGCTGGAGAGCATAGCTGCTGATTGGCCGATGCTGCCTGTGAATGTCAAACGAGAAAAAACGACCCAAACACTCCAACACTCCATGGGACTGCCAGGACGGACTGCCGATCAGTTGCCCCCAACCACCACCCCTGGCCTGATCGGGAGTCCAAATATGCCAGTCTCATGCCATGGAGTGTCTGGGCCACGGATCCCCCCCTGCTGAACTCTCTGCTGGACGCGATCGTTCACACACCACCACAACGGCCCCCAAGCTGATTCCACCGCAACCATCAGGCGGCGGCCCCTAGGCCGGTCGGCACACCCTGGGCCTTAAATCACTTCCAGACACGACCTGTCTGGAACTGCCATAGGACTGCCGATCAGGCCAGGGGTGGTTGACTGGGGGTCAACTGATCGGCAGTCCTGTGGCAGTCCTATGGAGTGTTTGGGATTCTTTTCCCATCATCAAAAAGTACATCACTTTATGAGCTCCCAAAGCATGTTGGACATGTACATTACACCATCCAAACTCATAAACTCTCACAGGTTGTCTAACACGACACGATGTCTACCAGCGTGTGTGGTTTCCTTTCAAGGGGACTCGGAGACTTGTTGGAGAGACGATTCGATACGATGCATCGAAAACGCCAGGCATCTGAAAGGACCATGGATTTGAAGATGATCACCTGATGGAAGGAGGGACTGGGGCGGACTTAACAATGACCAGGACGAAATGTTGTCGATGACAAGGACCATGGATCCTAACACACTTTTGGAAGGTGGAACTCTGGTGAGTGCCAGGAGCGTCATACCTTGTCAGGAGGTGCGACTGTAGCCCTTTTTTGGGTCCATGTTTCGTTGGGTGCCCCCTTTGTTTGAGAATTCCGGATGGGAACTCAAAACCACCCCGAGCTGTGTGACTCCTGGTGGTTCTTCTTCTTGCTGGGTGTTTGAGCCCTACGCTGAGTACACAAGCCCTACGCACTACCTAAGCCTTGCACAAGGCTGCCTACGCTGGGCCATTGTCCAAGAGCTACCTACCCGGGCAGGCCTACGCCTACCCACGCGGAACATGAAGTTCACCTACTAGGCACCTGCGGTATTAAAGACATGTTGCCATGTTGTGACATGTTGCCATTCCAATGCGCCTGCGAATCGAAGATCCACCGGGGTTGTTGATGAGTTGTCGGAGGTCTGAAACGAATCTCATGCATCATCGAAGAACGAGCCCCTGGTCGCGACTGACTATGCGACTGGTTACTTGGAGTCCTTTGGATGGGGTAAATGTAACTATTCGAGTTCCATGAATGGGAACAGGTCGTGACCGGGTCATCCAGGATTGAACTCCCAAGTCACAGGCAGTCGCATAGCTGTACGCATCTCTCGCATCAAATGCTCTGGTACAAACCAGCGCTTTCCCAGACCGAAGACAATCTTCATCACAAACCATTCCTGGCCAAGAAAATGACGATGCAGCGATGCATTGAAATCTATCGATCTGTAACCAGAAGAATATGATAGAACATGTATGACACAAGGTCATGTCACTATATATACTATATATATATATACTATGTTTGATTTTGTTGAATGAATCTTCCCATGTCAGCATTGAATCTTACATGGGTGGCTACAAAAAACCTTGGACCAACAACCAGCTCAAAATAGTTCAAACCACCATATTAAATCCGCCCCAGAAACGGTGGCCGGAATGAGACCCCCACGTTTTCGGCGACAGGCTTGGTGGCTGTTGATGGAATCCTATGCGACGGAGGCCTTTTCCAACCTAGAAAAGAACGTTGGGTCGTTTCTTCTTGCAGAAAAAAATCCACAAAAGCCACCACACAGCTCATTGCCAGTTGTACTTCCGTAGTGGCTGTGGAGAAAAAGGCGGTGTAAAAGAGCATGGCAATGAAGCCAGTTAAATAGCCCATCCAGGTGCACATGGTGAATTTTAAGGAGTCCAATGTGTTTGGAAGTGTTCGCACTTCGCTTGGAAGAACCATGTAGAAGACCACCATGCTCACCGAGGCGGCTGGAGTGCAGGAGAGCACTGTCGCGAAAGGAATAGG